ATATATATATATATATTTATATATATATATATATATTTATATTTATATATATATATATATATATTTATATATATATATATATATTTATATTTATATATATATATATATATATTTATATATATATATATATATTTATATTTATATATATATATATATATATTTATATATATATATATATATTTATATTTATATATATATATATATATATTTATATATATATATATATATTTATATTTATATATATATATATATATATTTATATATATATATATATATTTATATTTATATATATATATATATATATTTATATATATATATATATATTTATATATTTATATTTATATATTTATATATATATGTATATATTTATATTTATATATATATATATATATTTATATAAATATACATACACGCACACACAAATAGATAGATGATTTATATATAATGATAGATGTGTGTGTATGAATATATATAGTTTGTTTAAAATGCAAATACTATCTTTTTGGTTTCTTAAGCTTTGTAAGTTTTTGAACCCTTCTCGTTCTTCTCAGATGATACGTTTAGTCATTTGATTGATTTATTGTATTGTTACACCTGTAATGACACATATTTGCATATCCTTTGGGAGAGCTTTGCTATGCTTAGTTGGTAGCAGGTATCCTCTGCTAAGCCACCTAGCGGCAAATTACTTGCTATCAAAGCAGCTGAAATTTTTTTTATATAAAATAAAATAAAAAATGTATTTATTAAAAATATAAACAAATAACTAAATAACAGACCCTTGACAATACACAGTACCGAAAATAAATAATAAAAATATAAAACAAAACAAAAAATACAACTGTGAACTTCAATACATGTAAATACAACTTCTCTAAATAAGAAGCCTAAACTTCACAGAACACAAAATGTGGCATATGTTTTTATGTATGCCCCTGGACTAAAATACTTATCGAATTTTTAGTAGGTTAAACCATTACTTTAGATGTTAAAACATTATTTAACAAAGAGCCCAATAAAGATGATGAATAATAAGCGTTCAGTCTTTTACGAAACAAAAAAACTTTTATTTTGAAAAACATGGGCGTGTGCACTAATAAACCCGGAAGTTCCACGGGCTCTTTCATCTCGGCATTTGTAAAGCAGTGAGACAGACTCACTCCTGTCATTTCTGAGGCTTTTCTTGCTGTGTTTGTGCATCTGGATTTAAAATGCCTCTTAAATTTGAGTTATGTCCCGGTCGCATGATCGGAGGAAACAACCCGTGTTTCATTATTGCAGAAATCGGACAGAATCATCAGGGAGACATTGAAATCGCCAAGAAAATGATCAAGATGGCAAAGGTACGAGTTTATTTGTATTAATCAACGTCGGTACTGTACATTTATTATTGGCGGTGAGCCTGCAAGTTAAAAAAATGTTTTGGAAAAATGTTTTAATTGTTTCGGGGACTGTTTAATTACTGTTCATGCATGTTTTTTTTAAAACGTCAGTGGTACAGTGCACGACAGGTGTCGGGTTACTACTTAATCTGAGATTGGACATAAAATACTTGGAAATGTTCATTCAGAACTGCTTCTCAAATCACTTCCTTACACTCTGGAAGTCTGCCGTAGAATATCTTTAAAGTTTTTAGATCATAAACCTACTTATTAAGATGTTTAATAATACTTTTTACACATTATTAATAGATACAAGTGCTAGTTCTTGTACTAATTTTGGGTTCTTTTCTAAAAGAAAACAGTGAGTATATACTCTGCATTTAGTTTACAATGGAATTATTCAATAAAACAATTAAAAGATGTTATAATAATATACCATATCAGTATATCATGAGTATATAATAAGACTATATACAGTATAAAAGACTGTAATACAATTTTTCCGTTGTCATTAAGGTCTCGTTATTTTACATAATTTCCGATATGATTTATTGTATATAACTATTCCTCTTCTATACTAGGACTGCGGGGCAGACTGTGCGAAGTTTCAGAAGAGTGAGCTGGAGTTTAAGTTCAATAAGAAAGCTCTGGAGCGGCCGTACACCTCCAAACACTCCTGGGGAAAAACATACGGAGAGCACAAGCGCCATCTAGAGTTCAGCCACGAGCAGTACAGAGAGCTGCAGCAGTACGCTAAAGAAGTGGGCATCTTCTTCACTGCGTCCGGAATGGACGAGGTGAGCGGGTTGCAGCCGCAGAACGCATGCGCAGACTATTAGACTAGCATCTGTGTTTTATTTCTTTTGGCTTCAGGCTTACCGCTAGCAAGGAAAGCTAACAGGAGCCTGCTGATTACATCAAATACCAAAAGTCATGTGTGTTGTTATTTTTCTCATTAGTCATGTGAATATTACAGCTGGCTCCTACAAAAGTACTGTAGCAGTACCATGGGAAAGTGATGCTTTACGCTGATGTGCTCCTATATTATAACCAAGAATGTCATGTATGTTAATTGTAGTATTTTTTTTTTGTCTGCTTGTGTTTAAGATGGCTGTAGAATTCCTGCAGGAGCTCAATGTGCCTTTTTTTAAAGTTGGATCTGGAGACACCAACAACTTTCCCTACCTCAAAAAAACTGCCCAAAAAGGTGCCATTTTTATATTTAAATGTATTATTATTATTATCACAAACAATCAATAAGATGTAACATTTTTAAAAATGCTAAATATCTTAAAGATCTTTACTAATGTTCTTGGTAAATCCCCCCAGTATTTATTTTGAAACCACATATAAATTAAAATATTAAATATATTCTCTCTCTCACTCTCTCACACACTCACACACACACACACACACACACACACACACACACACACACACACACTGTTCAAAAGTTTGGAAAAAATAAATTAATACGTTTACTCGGCACATTCAAAAGTGACGTTTATAATGTTAAAAATTGTTTTAGTTCAAATTAATACTGTTCAATCTAATTTTTTATTAGTCAACGAATCCCAAAAAAATTTATCCAGGTTTTCACAAATTAAGCAGCACGATATAAAATATATTAAAGTAGACAATTTTACATTTTAAATTAAAATAATATTTCAGAGTATTACTGTTTTACTATAATTATTTACTACATCAAATACATGCATCCATGATAAGCATAGGTTATAAATATTATTAATTAAAATATATAATTCACTCTTAAAACTAATTATGAAACCAATATAACTTCTGATGCTTGTCTGTGTGTGTTCAGGACGTCCCATGGTAGTGTCCAGCGGAATGCAGTCCATGGAGACCATGCGCCGTGTTTATGAAACTGTGAAGGAACACAACCAGAACTTCTGCATCCTGCAGTGCACAAGTGCATATCCTCTAGAACCTGAGGATGTCAACCTGCGGGTTATCAGGGTAAAGAAACCAGCTCTTTACACACTCAGAAATGCATTTGATTTATTTCAAGTACAGCACGTGTATCAAAATCCCAATCACCGTGGTCGGCACTTTCACTTTTTCTAATATAACTATACGATTAGCTAAATATGCTTTTTTCCCCCAACCTACAGGAATATCAAAAAGAATTTCCAGACATTCCCATTGGTTACTCAGGCCATGAAAGTGGGATCAGCATCACAGTCGGGGCAGTTGCACTGGGAGCAAAGGTCGTGGAGCGCCACGTGACCTTGGACAAGACCTGGAAAGGCAGCGATCATGCGGCATCTCTGGAGCCTGAAGAGCTGGCTGAGCTGGTGCGATCGATCCGCACTGTGGAGAGAGCTTTGGGCACTGGGGTGAAGCGCATGCTGCCCTGCGAGGTGCCATGCCATGATAAGGTGCAATAAGAACCAGTGGAAATGCATTCGTTTTCACTTTGTTACGTTCACATGTCATGACATACGTGGCGCTAAGAGGCAAGCATCGCTATTACTATTGCTCATACTTAGGGTTAGGGGTTATTTTTCAAACATACTAACTCTAAAAATGTTGCTATTATAATATTTAGCATAATGCATTAATAGCATTAGTTACATAATGCTTAATTAATTGAATTAAATGTATTTTTTTACTTATTTACTTTTTAAATATATTTTCAGTTTTCATTTTAGTTTAAGTTTTAGTAATTTTGTGTGCTTTTGTCATTTTAAATAGATATTTCTATCTAGCTTTAATTTATTAATTTAATTTTCAATTTAAGTGTTTCATGTTTAAGATTTTCATTACATAGCTTCATTTCAATTAATTTGTACTGTTGTAGCACTTTCTGTCTACTTCAACCCTATCTGTTTTACAGCTCCATTCTCTTTCCATCTTATGTTGCATTCCTGCCACTGCATTCCTGTTCTTGCCCTGTTTCCTTCCAAAACATCCTGTCTTAACTTTTTCTTCTTTTTTTTAACCATCATCTTTATCCATTGGCTACCCAGTATCACTACTCCTCCTTAACTTTGCTTCTTCTCTTTTATGTTGGTGGGATGTTTGTTTTGAACAGCACAACCACATTGTCATCAAGTAATCTGCTCCGTCAAAACATTCCTATAATTCCTCTTCTACATCTTTCACTCCTCTCTAGCTCGGGAAATCTGTGGTGGCCAAGACAGCCATCCCGAAAGGTACAGAACTAACCCTTGACATGCTGTCTGTGAAAGTAGCAGAACCTAAGGGTGTAGCTCCAGAAGACATCTTCCAGATGGTGGGGAAGAAAGTTACAATAGACATCGATGAGGATGAGAGCGTCACTGAGGATGCAGTCGACAACTACGGCAAAAAAGCCAAAGCTTGAGGAAAATCGTCTCCGCCTGTCATTCTTCATCAGACTGGAAAGAAATTGAGATACTTTAGCCAAAATTAAATGCATTATTCTAGAACCGCAGTTAAAATGGCATTATGTTTTGTCTGATAGGCAGACAGAGACAAATGCAACAATACAACAAATGCCTTTAATGCTGTTAATATGGGTTATTATTTGCCAAATACTGTTGAATAAATAATGGAGCTAAAAACCATGGAAATCTGTTTTATTTTGAAGGTGAATTAATGGAATCAAAAAGGTGTAGGGCTATATTATTATCCATAGAAATGATCAATTTAATTGGTTAATACCATGAATGTTGATTGTTTTGAGTTAGTGAGCAATTGGATTTTTTTGTGTGTGTATATACTGTGTGTGTGTGTCATGGTAGCACCATAATTGTCTTTTTAAATACCATGGTACATGAATGCAGGATATGACCATTACATGTTGTTTGTTTGTTTATTTATTTACTGGGATAGAATCAGGCGTTTTCCTTTGCAACTAAAATGACACAGAAATGTTGCTTTCAGTTCACCTTCAAAGTCCAGCATGATTCTTTCTGTGAAGGGCACTACGCTGTCAGTGTTTCATGACAAACCCTGTTTATATTCATTATAGATTGATACGTATGCAATCCCATATTGCTGCAACGCCCTATCAGGGCACGCTGATGATCACGGGACTTGCACAGCCACGGTTTAGTCATTTTATTGGTCGGCGACTCAACTTCTCGCCATTTGTATGGACAATAGAACTGCTCATCAAAAATACACAACTCCGATTGGTTGAGCGCCAGTTTCCTTCGCGGCCGTTCTCTCTTAAGCACCTCCCCCACTGACATTGGAGCCGTCGACGAAGAAGACAGTAGGGTGGTTTTTGTTTTCAGTTGTTCTCACTCCAAACACATTTAGCGAACCATGGACGATTTTGATATGCTCAGTGACCCTCAAGGAAGCGCAGGCAACGGCGTGGGGGCAGACGAGGACCCGGCGGCAGCATTTCTGGCCCAGCAGGAGAGTGAAATCGCGGGCATCGAGAATGACGAGGGCTTCAGCATTCTGGACAGCGGAGAAGTGCCTTCATCCCTGAACCAAGACCCCGACGGTGGGCTTACACGACAACGAACAAAAAAATAAATAACGTTACTCTCTTTATAATCTTGAAAGCGATCAGTCAGACACCCAAGCAAAGAACTGTTTAACTCGCTCGTTATAGCCAGCCAGCCAGCTAGCCTGCCTTCATTCAGAGCTCTATGTGTAACGTTATATGATGTAACGCGGAGTGTGTATAAATAATACATGCTGTGCTGTGTATATAGATCACACTGCCAAAAACGTGTTCAAATAGCTGTTTAAATGTCCTAATGTTTTACTTAATGGACTGGTAACGTTAGTTAAAGGAAGAAGGAAAATGGCGTTATCTTTCGTTAACTCAGCTCTTTATGAATCTCCCTCTGGTAACATTAGACCTCATTTAACGGTTTAATTGCAATTGTATTCGGGTTCAGAGGAGATAATTTTCGATTTTTGAGTCGATTGATTACTGTAGTAAGTTACCGTTAATGGTTGTATCAGCAAAATTCCAGTTCCTTGAACGTTGATGGAGTTTTTATTATATAATGACCTTTGGATTAAAGGCTGTGTGTGTGTGTGAGTGAGAGAGAGAGAGTAGTTCCTATAACGTTATATATTTATAATGAAGTGTCCAGGCATCTTTTAGATTAGGTTATGACAGGACCACTGCTGTATATCCAAACGCATTGAGATGCCTATTTAGACAGCATTAAATGGCATCAAAGCCGCCATGGAAGTATAAAAAGCTTATTGCGTGTTTAAACGCGCCCTAATCCACGAAAATTAGTGATTTGAACGCACATTTGATGGCCAGAAATATTCTATTCAACAGTTCGAACATGCTTGTAACGTCCAGAAATGATTGACTCGAACGCGCCTGTCATGTTCGGCCAGAAATGATCGATTTGAACTCAACTGTGATGGCCAAAAGGTTTTGTTTTAAAGATTCTATAGTGTCTTTGATGCCCAAAAACACTTACACGTTTGGCAGATGCTTTTATCCAAAGCGAGTTGCATAAGGGATTCATATTTAATAGTTAATATGTTCACAGTTAGTCTTTTTAGGTAGGCAGCTCACTAGGTTTCAAGGCATACATTTCCATCACAAGTATCTCATGGCTGATTGAGTCTCTACAAGTACCTAAACTATAATTACACCTTTTCAAATTAATTTAATACCATGGACTGACTGAAATTATAGTATTTTGGAGACCTTTGTCTTGGTTTGTAATCACACCTTACATTATCAATCTACACAAGTGTCTGGTATTCCCTTTTTACTGGCCGTTGGCTTGAATGTTGCTTTGGCCGAAAGATTTGAATAAATGATGATGGGGATGTTGTTTCACAGGCACAAAGGCACGGTCTGACTTCGGTCTAGGATGACTGAAGACAACAGTCTTGGAGGTACTATGCAGTACAGTCTGCAAAAAATCAGTCAGGCCTGTATACTGTCTGTTCATTAATTCAGGCTTGGGTTAAAAATGGATTTTCATGTGCTGAAAATATGTAGTCTTTTATTAATTGTATGCTTAGTATGTATTTCTTGATGAAAATGTTGGTGTTACTGATTAAATCACTTCTAGTAAAGAAATGCTGCATGATGTTTTCCACTGATTCAGGAAGAAAGGAAAAGAAGTCAGCAAAACCAGAGACTTAGGCAGGAGGAAAGACTGTATATCCTGTCCCACAATTCAACACTAAAATAATGCTTTGTCATGGACTATACGTTATTGCAAAAGAACTGCTGTTTTTTTTAAAACCCTTTTTGACAGATGCCTTTATCCAAAGTGACTTCCATTGCATTCAAGTTATGCATAATTTTTTCAGTTTCATGCATTCCCTGGGACTTAAACCCACAGCCTTCACTTGTTGGCGGCATGCTCTACTGTTTGAGCTACAGGAAGGCTAAATAGCCTTTGTCTAATGTGTTTTCACTCAGTGACTGAGGGTGATTCATACAGATGGATTGTATGCGAAATTGCGAATCATGAAAAATTGACCGAAAACTGACTATTTTTAACACATCCATGTTCTTCTCTCTCTTTTATCTTGGCAGGTGGAGCACTGAATGGAGATCTGCACGGGGTAAGACTTTGATGGCTTATTTATTGTTCCATCAAACTCAGAACACTATTTTAAAAATATTACATAGGAGTTGTATTTTTTTTAAAGATAGAATTGTCTTGAATGTATTTATAATACAGATGATAGGAAATGCAGTGTGCATGAGAACAGAACAAAAGACTAAATCTAGACTTGCTTTAAACCTTTGGTTCCTTTCAAGCACTGGTTCTAAATAGCTGTGTATATTAAGACAATGTTAGATTAATTTATTAACCCTGTAATTTGATACATGAATTTCTAAATTAATTTCTAAACATGATGAAAAATGTAAGTTTTTCAGCATAAAGTAAACATAAGGATAATTTTCTTTTTTTTGGTGATATTTCAAGATTAAAGCAACTTGGGTTTACTTGTTTATCCATACATAATTTTTTAGGAAAACCATCTTAAAATGTGTCAAATAAGTAGGGCTGCCCCCTAATAGTCGACTAATCGTTAGTCGACCAGAAGAGGCTTGGAAAGGAAAGAAAAAAATCCACATTGGCGAAGTCACGCAGATCGTTAACAGCTGGTCTATGTGGTAATACAGTACATCCGGCAGGACATCCAAATGCTCACCTATCACTCATCCACCACAAATATGGCTTATCATCTGAAATATGTAAGTATTAGCAGCTTTACATGGCCACTCAATCTAATGTTAACTTAGAGAAATGTGCGCTATTGAAGTGTCTGTGCGAAGTGTGGAAGCTGAACAGTAGCGCTCACTGCAGGACAGATGGAGGCACCGGTGCACTCATTTGCTCTTAAAATACTCCGTCATTTTTGGTCATACAGATAAGAGTAATACACCTTTCAAATCTGTAAAGACTCTACGTTTATTTGTGTGCATTTACAATAACAACGCGCTTTTGTAAAATAATGAACACAAACAAGATGTGCTTTCTGGCGTCTCGGTCTCCGTGAACTTGAGCGCGAAACTCTGTGTAGGCTATATCTTTGCCTTACAGACATTAAAAATATATCTATAGAGAGTGAAATGTCTACTTTCAAATGAACCAATTCAAATGGAAGACAAATATTTTCAGATTATGTAATCCTTATGAAACATGCAAGGCGCTTATGGTGCTTGAGCGCTTATTAGGCTATGTAGGCAATTAAAGGCTCATTATAATGATTTAAATGGTTTATTCATAAACGTGCGATTAGTCGACTAATGCTTAAAATGAACGACTTCTAGTCGACCAGAAAAATCCCTAGTCGAGGGCAGCCCTACAAATAAGTTACATCAATCAGGCTTTTGAGAAATGTTTATTTCAAAATCATCATTGTATTGCATTGCATTATATGTCTTAAATGTCTTTTAAATGTCATGTCAAATAGCTTTTAAATGTCATGCTATTGGAAGATTTACATTACAAGCTATCAGAATTTCAGATTTTTATAAGAATAACAGCAGCTACACTAAATTGTATATTTTTGCTCAGTTTGGGCCTCTGAATAAAACTCAGGTGTTTTTTTCCCCTCAAGTATGAGCTCTATTTTCTCACTATATACCACACTCTATAGGCCATAAAAGCCTATTGTATCAAATGTGGTGCAGTAAATAAAATGCATATGCAAACTTAAAAAAAAAAAAAAAAGCCTAAAGATAATAAACTGTTCCATTTTAAAATTGCTTTTATGACTAATCTTATATGACAGGCTTTACAGTGTAAACTTTGCCTGTGATCAGGAAAGTGAATGCCTAGTGTTACTAGTCACTCACATTTTAACAAGCCAGTTTTGTATTTCCAATTAAAATATATAAACTTGAATAATTAAAATTGACAAATCACTCATCCAAATGAGTTGATGCTTTAAAGAAGTGCATCAACTAAATAGTATACTGAGATTGTATGGTTTGGACCGCTGATTATTGCTGCTTGTGTTCTGTAGGAGAGTAACGGTCCTTCAGATTTGTATGCGGCCATCTCCAGTGCTGATCGGTTGCAGGCAGAGCCGGAGAGCTTGAGGAAGTGGAGAGAGGAGCAGCGTGAGAGGCTGGAGCAGCTTGGTAACTTGAGCATAGACGTATATGTTCTCCTTAAGATATATTAAAACTGTAAGGTTCATTT